GTAAACCGCTTAGAGAGGGCTGAAAGCCCTATGAAGCGGTATATAAGTCTAACTGCTATTGCTATTGCTATTGGGCATAAACCAAACATTTATTGGAGTGATACATCCACTGAGTGATACAACCACAGTTGTGCTTTGATAATACAAGTGTTTATCGAAGTGAAACAACCACTGAGTGATACAACCTCTGCTTAGATTTGATGGTACTCCAATAAACTAAGCTTTTATTGAAATGATACCATTCCTTAGTGAAACAACCATTGTTGCGCATTGATAGTAGCTTCAATAAATGAAGCCCCTTTGACCTGTTGATTTGTGGCACCTCCCTCAAAAGTTTTAATTATGATTTCTGTCTTCACCCAGGAAGCCCTGTACCTTGAATGAACAGACTGGGATCTCAGCAGATCAAGGCAGCTGATAAATGACGTTAAAATGACTTGTCGTCTCTTCTTTCTTTTGCAGAACAAGAGGAGTGCATTAACTGCACCGATGAATGCCGAGTGCTTGGTCATTCCGACCGGTGTTGGATGCCCCAGTTCCCTGCCTCCAACCAAGCAGACAACGCCGACTACCGAACAAATCTCTTTGTGCCCACGGTGGAAGCCAATGTCGAGACTGAGACTTACGAAACTGTGAACCCCACGGGGAAAAAGACCTTTTGTACATTTGGAAAGGACAAGCGAGAGCACACCATTCTCATTGCCAATGTGAAACCTTATCTCAAAGCCAAACGTGCCCTAAGCCCCCTCCTCCAGGAGGTCCCCTCAGCATCCAGCAGCCCAACCAAGACCTGCATTGAGCCTTGCGCCTCAACGAAAGGACCTCTGGATGGCTGCGAAGTCAAGGCAGGGGCCTTGGCCGAGCCCAACGGTCAGTACCTATCGCCCAGTAAACAATCCAGAGACGCTGCCTTCATGGCGTCCGATCAGATGGCCAGGGTCTTCGCCGAGGTGCATTCCCGAGTCAGCCGAGACTCCGCCGATATGGACTCTGTCTTGGAGCAGATAGACCGTTCAAACAGGGAACTAGGGAGAGAGTCCGTGGACGCAGAGGAAGTCGTGCGGGAGATCGACAAGCTTTTACAGGACTGTCGGGCGAACGACCCCGTGGCTGTGAGAAAGTGAAGGAAAACAGAAACAAAACAAAACAAATACACAAACACACACAAACAAACAAAACATAAAAAAGACAGTCTGGCATTAATTTGCTTCTTCTGCTGAATTATATATTAAAAAAAGAAAAAGAAAAAGAAAAAAAAATTCTCCCCTGGTTCTAAAATTTATACAGGGATGAACAAAGACCAATGCTGCTTTAAGGCTTTTAGTGAACATCTGAAGTGCCCTCCAATATGTTTGTTTCACTGCTCTTTCTTTTCTCTCTCTCTTTTTTTCAGATAACACTGGTTTCGTTTTTACCCAACTTCCATTAGAACAATATGATGTATGTTTTTTTTTTATTAAAAAAGAAAAGAAAACAAAAAAGAAAAATAGGAAGGAAGGAAAGGAAAGGAAAGGAGGGAAGGAAAGGAAGGAAAGGGAAGGGAGGAAGGAAGGGAGGGAGGGAGGGAGAGAGGAAGGAAGGAAGGAAGGAAGGAAGGAAGGAAGGAAGGAAGGAAGGAAGGAAGGAAGGAAGGAAGGAAGGAAGGAAGATTGAGGCCACTTTGACAATCGAAGAGAAAGGAGTAAGATAAACAGAAACAGAACTTTTAGGACCGATAGTTAATGTTGACTTCACTGTTTACCTGTAGACCCCATAAAAACCAGGGTGGAATAGTTGTGTGATAAGTTTACAACAGTCATTAGAGGTTTCTATGGAAAAAAAATCCCCAATCAGAAATCCAATAAACATACAAACAAATGTTCTTGTAGTCAGACCACCAAGTACACAAAGCATTAACGCTCATTTGTGATAGGCATTTCTGTATAAAGGCATCAGCCACATCCTTTTAAAAAAAAAGAAAGAAAGAAACGAAAAGGAAAAAAAATATATATGGAAACCCCTCCAAATCCATTCCATAATTTCATTCAGAAAAAAAAATATATCCCGGTCATTAGTAACACGGCTCATGTCATATGAAAGTTAAATGTAAACGGGTCGAATCCATGTTTGTCCTGCACACGCATAAGTGAATTAACGTGATCAGAGAAGAAAGGGAAGGCGTTAGTGTCTAGCAAGAGTTGAGGGATATCTGAGGCACAATACAAGATGGCCGCTTTGATTGCCGTTACACGGGAAATAATAGCGGAGACAAATTAACCTTATTAACACCCTTTTGTAATTCATTTATGGACACTGCCATAGCTCCAGTGCAGACACTGCAAACCTTCACCCGAACCATTTAAATGTGCAAATGTAAGAAGATTCAATGTGTTTACATCAAAAGACATATTTTTTTTCCTTGATTTATTGCCGATTCAGTGCATTTGAGCCAAATTGTTGAGTGTATAAGAGCTATATTGTGTATTTTATTAAATTAATATATAGTTGTGTTGCAAAAAAATAATAATATTTGGGCTTATAATGTAAATGGCAAGTGTTGCCTCCGTAGCTGTCAAACTCTATGAGTTTTGTTCTCTCTTCCTTTTTTTCGTTCCACCCCCTTCTCCATACAGAGTGTGGGAAGCAGCGCCTCGGAGCAAATTCTCTTGTTAAATGTATGGTCTCCCGAGTTTTAACAGTACATAATCTGTTCAAAAATGTGTCTTGAGTGAGTTGATGGAGCTAACCGAACGGCAGACGAATCCATCCATCCGTCATGGTTGTGTGCAAGTCCTTGTAGAAGCTTCTGTCGCAACCCATGTTTAATAACAAAAAAAAAAAAATTACACTTGAACTGACATCTGGAAAGTCCTTGTTCTTTTATCAAGCGTATTCATTCGTTCCCATCGGTGCACGTCAGCCTACTGGGATAACACCCTTGTGGATGGACTCTAAGATGATCTGAATATTTTGACATGCTCCTCTTAATAGTCCTAGTATCGCTTAGGCATAATAGGCAGAGGGTCTGGGGCCGGTGGAAATATATTAGGCTCAAACAAAAATCTGAAAAGTAACAGGAAAAAAACAACCAAAAAGCCTACATCCTGAGATTAAATATATTTAAGATACCATAACTACTTTTATTATGTTATTTTCTGTGACTTTCTAAGGCCTATAGATCTAGGGAATATTTTTATAACCCTAAGAAGACTATTAATCCAAAAATAAATGTTCTTAGGGCCCACAATGGTCTTAAATGCATTCCTGGTTATTTTAGCATTGTGGGCTATACAACGTGTTGGTGTCTCATAGTACGAGCTTTGATCTGCTTCCATGAACAATCCTTGTGCTGTTCCTCCTTTCACCCTCCTCCTCATTATGACAGTTTTTTAGTCATTGTACTTTTGCTCACTTTCTCTTGCACACACTTTCCTATATGTTGTTCTTCATTGGATTCTTATAAAAGCATATAAGTAACGTTTTCTTTGAATGCCATTTGTATAAGCACAATGAAACGCTTAGGTCATAGATGGTTGGTTGGTTGGATGGATGGATGGATGGGTGAGAAGCAGGTAGACAGATAATGTTCTTCATTTTTATGTTGGAATAAAATTGTGCAATATCCAGAAAACAGGAGGGGAAAGTGTTCTATATGAAATACATAGTTTAATTCCTTCCATTTCTTGAAATGGAATGAGAATTTGAATGCCGGCTGATAATCAGAAACCAGGATTGTTCAAATGAGTTTATTCCATGCTACTTCTAGACAAACAAAAAGGAATGTGGTAGTTCAGTGGCTAAGACTCTGAGCTTGTCGATCGGAAAAGGTCAGGAGTTTGGCGGTTCGAATCCCTAGTGCCGCGTAACGGTGTGAGCTCCCATTACTTGTCCCAGCTTTTGCCAATGTAGCAGTTCGAAAGCACGTAAAAAAAATGCAAGTAGAAAAATAGGAACCACCTTTGGTGGGAAGGCAACAGCGCTTCGTGCACCTTCGGCGTTTAGTCCTGCCGGCCACATGACCATGGAGACATTCTTGGACAATACTGGCTCCTTGGATTTGAAACAGAGAGGAGCACCGCCCCCTAGAGTTGGGAATGACTAGCACATATTTGCGAGGGGAACCTTTACTTTGACCTATACCTCTAAGTAAGAATCTAAACTACTAACTATTAAGGCAAATGGGTAATAAGTAACAGTCAATGGAATTCGAGAAGTATATCTCTTGTTGGTGCAAAGGGAGCCCAGATTGATGATGAGATTGACCCCTCCTTCTATGTCAACTGGACATCTCCTACGATTGGCAGATTTCAAACTATATCAAGCCATTGATTTTCCTTTTTTTTTTTTTAGTTTTTGCCATTACTAAACTACTGACGTTTTTTAAGGAAGAAAAAGACAAGGATTTGTTTTGCTATTTTACATCAATGCATTCTTGGTTCCCAGTCCACAAGATATATCGAGACTCTCTGGGTTACTCCATGTCAGATGAACTAATCTAAACCAAATAATATTGAGAGACTCGATGGAAAGGGTATAAACAAAAGTGTGGAAAAGTGTGTAATGATGTCCCATTGTACACCTTTATGCACATTATATGTCTAAACATCTAAACTTTCCCCTGTCTATGCCATATATATTTTGGAAATAGACCAAATATTTTTTAAGAAAAAAGAAGTCATCCTTCTTAAGTCTCAAGAGCCTTTCAATTTGCATGTGGGTGAAAACTCAAGCTCGATGTTAAACTGGTAAAAATCTAGCTGATAAAATCCGGAGAGTAAAAGTAACAACGGACTTTCCTTCCTATCCCCTACTATTTCAGTGAGTTCCATACTGAATCCATTGGGGGGGGGGGGGATTGTTGGGAGAACAGCTTTGGAATTTCATGCATATATCAACCTTTTTTAAAAAATTGTATCACACTTTCTGATATTCTTTATCCTAGCAATGATGAAAGTGGGTAAATTAGCTCCAAAACCATTAAGTTTCACTATTTTTTCCAGGGTCTTTATCATACTTTGGTGGACAGGTCAGTAAAATTAGGACCCAGATTGTTGGGGGCAATATGTGTTGTGGCCCTCCAGCGGCCAGAGGAGCTGGTAGCAGATTCGGACAGTGAGGAGGTTGGGGAGGAACATGGGCCATTCCTGGAGTCTGGGGAAGGCTCTGATGAGGGTTCTGTGTCAGAGGAAGAGATGGGTCCAGGGCCATCCAACAGTTATCAGCTGCTTTCAGAGTTGGAGATCAGTGGGGCAGAAGAATAGCTGGGGCCTGTTCCCAGTGTGCGCATGCACAGAGTTGCCAGAGGAAGAGAACTGCTAAGGAACAAAGGTTGACTTGGGATTAAGGCCAGAGGTGGACAGTGAATGGCCCCTCCCATAGAGAATAAAAGAGGAGCGAAAGGGGAGTGGAGTTTGCAGGAGACAATTAGTTCATTCCTGCATTCTTGCCANTTCTGCATTTCATCGCTCCGATGTACCAGCTGAGCTGCATCCTCGGTGACTTGGTTTCTTTCTTTCTACTCCACCCCCCACTCTTCCTGGTGGCTAATTTCTCTGATCTATATTCGGAACGGTTCTCCCTAATGTGCACACAGCACTTCTGGTTGTTTACCTCCCTGCCTCCAGAGACGGAGACAAACCCCATGGCTATTGCCGTTCGTTGTGCACACTTGAACTGTTCAGGCTTTATTTTCATCTGGAGGCAGGTGAGCTTGGATTCTGATCAAGAGCAACCGAGCATATCACTCTTCCGACCCAGTTTTTGCAAGGCAACGAGAGCTGTGGGGACGCTTACGCATTTATTTCTGCCTTTTGAATGGATCCCGATTTCTCATCAATGCTAATTTAGCCATGGGCAGTGCTAATTGGTGCTGGAGCTTGTGAGAGTGTCTCCTTTCTTCTTGTAACAGTGAAAACAGGGAAAGAAATCCCACCGTTCCTCTAAAACTACTTTTTTTAAAAAAATAAAAAACCCTTCCCTGGTCTCCCAGCTTGCAGCAACGCGAGAGGCTAATATTGTGGTAAGGGGCTTGTAATGTATGATAATCAATACTTCAGTAATGTATGATAATCAATACTTCAGGACTGCTTTCTGCAATATGGCATAAAAGGGAGAAAGCGGGGAGGGGAGGAAAACTGCTAGTGAGTTTTCAACACTGTGAAACAAATGATGAAGAAGTGAAGAGGTGGGATGCTGAAGGACAAAACAATTCCACTTTAAAAGTAAAGGTAAAAAGATTTCCCTCGCACATATGTGTTAGTCGTGCCCGACTCTAGGGGGCGGTGCTCATCTCCATTTCAAAGCCGAAGAGCCAGCACTGTCCGAAGACGTCTCTGTGGTCATGTGGCTGGTATGACTAAACACCGAAGGCGCACCAAACAATGTTACCTTCCCACTAAAGGTGGTTCTTATTTTTCTACTTGCATTTTTACGTGCTTTCGAACTGCTAGGTTGGCAGAAGCTGGGACAAGTAATGGGAGCTCACTCCGTTATGCAGCGCTAGGGATTCGAACTGCCAAACTGCCAAAC